AATGTATTGTGTCGTAGTAAGTCTCAAAGAAACTTATTTAGTTTCTAAAGTATTCGCGAAAGTGTTTGGCTATATTGAGACTATAAATAAAGAAAATATTTAATATCTTATATTACTACAACTTGTAGTGGGGTAATATGTATGTGAAAAGTTACCCGCTTTATTCTCCAGTTTGTACTACACAAATAAAAGAATGCCACAATAAAGTAGAAATTTATTGATATAAAAATTCATATCATAATAAACTTAGAGTTTATTGATAATTGCACACGTCATGGTGTAAACATGAAGTTTATCAATATTGATAATTTATTCAGTTGGCATAATTGGTTTAGCCATGTTAATTTAAGTATGATGTGCAAAAATAAAAGAGAATTCACATGGGTAAATATTAAAAAACTAGAAAAACGAATCTCTTATGTTGTTTGTTCTCATTAATTAATAGACCAACTAAAATTGGGATTGAATCCCATGAATGTTGGAAATATTAAAAAGTGAATATAGACCCATTCACCTGCCATGTATACCACATAAGATGTATCTATGAGATGGTTACATGTGCGATTATTATTAACCCGCAACCTGGTATTTGCGAGATAACTTGCTCAATAATTTAATTTAGAGCATAATTTCCAGATTTTCTATTCAAGACAGTTCTACTTAATAAGTTGGTTTACATCACAGTTGGTTTAGCAAAATGATTTATTGAATGCCTCCACTTAATATCTAAACTATTGCTCATAAGAATAGATTTATCTATATCAGTTTGATATACGTTATATACGAAAGTATATTACATTCTCCCCTCACAAGTGGTTCAGGGTTAGGAACCAAATAATTTCATATTATTATTATTGATGTGCAGTGTATATTTGATTAACACCATAACGCACAAAGGTGGATTTTCAAAGTTGAGGAAGCTAAGTTAGTTTTTCTAACATGAGGGGGAGACATGATAAAAGTTGAGAAAAAGTTACGTGGAATGAATTATCATTTCTACATCTAGTTCCTCGAATAAGATAATATGAACTTGAAGTTCATAAAAAGATAATTCATCTGCAATATATTGCAAAGCATGCCAGACGCATTTACGGACCCAAAGAAAGTAACTATATCTTCACTGTAAATGCTCATATTAGAATAAGTTCTAGAAGGACAAAGTCTATGGTACGCTTAAAGCGTATAGAAACGGTTTCAAATAAAATTCTTGATAAAGAAGATGAGCAAATGATCAAAACGATCATAATAAAGAGGCAAGTGCTGTAGAAGAGTACATGACATAACATTTAATAAAATCTCAGGAGAGGTTCAGGTATCTGAAAATATAAATTAAGATATTTTTATGTTATGTCTTTATGAAAAAAAGGAGGTTGGAACTGATATAAAATGTTCGTCGACTACATCTATGATAATTCTAAATATATATATGAGGATCTTAAGTCTGGAGAAACAATCAAAGTAGAATTGGTTTCATATGAAAGACATGTAGTTTTGGGCTTGCAGTTCAGACACTTGAAAGTATAAAATCAATGGTGTGTACAATCACTTTTATCTATCTTATATGTCTGGCATGACATGAAAACTTGATGTAAATCTAAAGTCTATTTATATGGCAGCCATACATCCCTTTTTTTCTTTTGGCCGTTTTTGTTAGACATTGAACCCCATCCCACGGAGCGGTGCTGAGTGGTGTCCTCCCCTCCCTAATACCTAAACAGAGTTCCGTCTATGGAGCCTAAAGCTTAAACCATGGCATGGCGCAGTAAGTTGGCCTAGTCTCTCGCCCAGCCTTCGCCTTCTTCAGTGGCCAAGTTGAAGCGTTCAACGTCGGCCTACCACCTTTTTTTTTCAAGGTTGAGCTTGTTCAATTGAAGCTAATGCTATGCTGCCCTTCCCTTGTTCAAGAGAAAGCGAGGACTTTCTTTTAGCTNTGCAGTAAGTTTTATTTGACTATACTTATATGACAATCTATGAACGATTTAAAATGCCGATAGCATGTACAATTCTTGGAGAATTTCTTGGTCTTGAATTACCACATCCTAAGTACAATTTGTGCACATATGTATCTTGCTATAATTATAAGTATGATAATACGATAGTAAGAGTCTTTACCCCTATGTGAAGATATTGAAATGACGATTCCAACAAAATCATATAAGACAATACATCTCTATCAAGAAATGATGATTAAGGTGCAACATATTTATTCAAGTTAATATGGCTGATTTATTTATCAAATCTCTACTATCTTTTAAAGATGGTACACAAGATTGGAATGCGAAGGCTCAAATATGTAAATTGATTGTCTCATCGGGGGGAGTTAATACGCATTGTACTCTTTTTTCCTTATAAGATTTTGTACCACTGAGTTTTCCTTGCAAGGTTTTTAAAGAGGCAACCAAAAGACGTATTGTTAGATATGTGTACTCTTTTTCCTTCACTAGAATTTTTCCCACTGGGTTTTATTTTTGTTAAGGTTTTAACGAGGCACATTATCTGTTGAATAGACATTCAAGGGGGGTGTTATAAATAGAATTGTATTTAAGGTGAATATCTATATTTTAGAGAGATTTTAGGGTTTGTTACTTTGTGACTAAGCCACTTTTTCCCTATAAATAGAGATGTTCTATTCCATTATACATCATATAAAATCAATAAGAATTCTCTCTCTACTTTTCTCCGCAATACTCTTCTTCTTCTTTTATTATTTTATAACAAAAATAAAAACTAAAAAACTCATTTCGGACCCATTTTAATACCATGTCTTTCACCATGTGATAAAATTGTCAGTTAATTCTTTAGGCATTACTTATTAAGTGAGTCAAAAAGTAATTTTTTTCTTGAATTGGTGACATATGATTATTATGCAAGGTAACTGTGAGTTGTCAAAGTTGATTTATTTAGATGTCAATTATATACGTATTACATTTTTTGAGGTCAGATTTAATATTTTTTAACGACTTATCTTCCGTGATATATAAATATATTTGAGTTATTTGTTTGGTCATGAAATTTTGATACAGTAAATTTAAAGGTGGATGACCATGAGGGGTTGTACTGAACCTAATTTTTTATTGTGAATGAACATTATATATGTGATTATGTCCTCTCTTAGTTTTCTTCTCCATCGATTCTCATTCGCTAATATGTTAGTTTTTTTTAATGTTATTCCTACGTCTACTTAGCCTAGAGGTTTCATTCACTAGTACGGCTATACAAATATGAGAACCAAGGATTATTCGCGATAATATTAGAATCGTTGATTATTTGAGTTATTAAATTAGAAATTTAATATTTGTATATTTAGCAGATTTTGACACACATATACATAATCTATATAAAACTTATTGAGTTAAACCAAACTCATATGGGTCGTTTGGTAAGCGGACTAGGTTATCCCGGGATAATAATCCCAGGATTATAATCCGTGGACTAATTTATCCCACCTGAAAGGTGAGATAAAATAATCCCAAATTTAATGGGATAAGGTGATATATCCAGTATTAAGTCTGTGATTAAATTTATACCAGGTTTGGTTGAAATAAATTTATACTATCAACCAAACATGGTATAAATTTAATCCCTTACCTTATCCCACCTTATCCCGCATACCAAACGACCCCATAAAGTATACTGTACATTCGCCCCCAAGTATACACGATTCGTTTTGTTTTGTTTTCTTTCAAAATCAATCAATTATGTCGACTTTTTAAATCTACAAACTAAATCAAACGAATATAAACTTAATTTTTCTTAGTTTCAGTTGTCATTTTTTTGGTCGATTTTTTTGTTTCAAATATTAGTTCTTGACCAATATGTACAGCTTTGAAGTTTTATTCACAAGCGCAACAAGTGCATTTTGATTTAGTTTAATACTAGTAAAAATGAAAACAACACTTTATATACCATACATCAAAAAAATATATTTTGACTTGATTTAATTCCTGTATAAATAAACTTAAGATGTCATTCTGTGAAAAAGTATATTCCAATTTCCAACATACAAGCTGGCGTATTCCAGCTAACAACTTTTTAGTAAGGTGATAAAACGAATGCACATAGGGGTTGTTCAGCGTAGTGTTTTTTTTTTTGGGTGCGTGGGAGAGAGTCTCCCAACATAAATAATAGACAATGAAATATTGCGAGAAAAACAAGCAAATTTTACTTAACCCTTTAGTTTTTCGGGTTTAAAAAATAATACCTCCTTTATTCAATATGACAATTAACTCTCTTGAATTTTGATCTTAAATGACGAAAAAATTAGTTGGATCATTTCATATATATCTAAAATGCCAAACTTGACCTTCATTTATGACAAACTATTATATGTTTCTCAAAAATAAAAAAATTATTCAAAAATACCTAATAATATTGTATATAGATGAATAAATTTCATCTAATTGTTCCAATATTTCAAAATAAAAAAAATAATACCTTATTCATTCTTAAAACAAAAACCCCTTGAAATTAATATCTTCTTGTTATTTATCATAAAGTAGTGCGAAAAGAAACCCAATGTTGCCCTTAGTACGAGCTAACTTCGTTTAGCTTCTGTTAATGATTAAACCAATTTGATTTAATTGAAGATAAAATATGCTCAATTGCATAGTACAAGAATTAAAATTAAAATTGAAATAGAGTAATAACTCAGGGACCAAAATTGTTATTTTTCTTTAAACATATTCCTTTAATTATATTTATCTATTGTTTAAAATTTTAATATATATTAAGAAAATCAGTTAATAATATTTATCATAAGAGATATTTTATGAAATTATATTATCTGTTCCTTAAATGAGTCATTATTGACTCTAAGCTTTAATGTAAGGATAAAATTGAAAAAATTAAATATGTCTTTTGATTTTTTAAGTGAAATTATATTAGATGAAATATTATTCTTCTAACGTTAACGGATAAAAAGGACGGACACAAGGGAGCACTACTTTAATTTATTTAGGGACACATGTCAAAGTTTCATTGAGTCAGTACTTATTTGTTTCCTTGACGAGAATCAATACTCACTGCTCTTGCTCTCTGACCTGCTGAAAATAAAAAAAAGGGTTAAGCTCTCAAAAATTTCAGCAAAACAGAAGAAGCTACGCTACTTTGTAAGTCGTTCTCTCTTCTTCGTTCAACAATGCTTCTTTTTCTTAATTTTTCTGCTAAATCTTTAAAATATTCAGAAAATGCGGGGTTTCTCGATAATGTTTTGAAACTCGCTTCAATTTTGATATTTGTTTTTAAGTAATCTTTGTTGTTTTTTCCCCATTCTTACAGCTTTCTTTTATTAAAATCAATATAGGTATAATGCAGGATTTTTTTTTTTTGCGCTTTAAAGTTTATAAATAGTAAATTTGAGCACAAGGGTTTTAGGGATATGAAATTGATTTCAGCTAATTCTGAAAGTAGAAAGTAAAAAAAAAGTTAAATACTTATCCGATACTTGTTGCATGTCGAGTTCTTATGTTTCTGTTACTATTTCATGCTTTTGGGTTTAGGGTTTTAGAGGTGAGTTTATTGAAACAGGAATATCAGTGTGCTGACATCCCTACAAATAGTTGAAATCACTTTATGGGTTTTCTTGTGGTAAAAAAGAATTTTATTTTAATTTAAGGTTGCTTTTACTTTTCTGAAAATGTTGAAAGCATTTTATGGGTTTTCTAGAGGTGAAAAAAGAAAAGGAAAAGAAGAGATTTTAAAGGTAGTTTTTTACATTTCAGGAAAAGTTGAAAGCACTTAAAGGGTTTCCTTAAAAAAAAAGTTGTAATATGGGTAGCTTATACATTTCATTTAATTTCTGTTTTCTGAAATGCTGGTGAATGTCTTTGGTTTTCGAGGTTTTCAGTTTTTGTGACTTGATGGATGAATGCTGAGGGTAAATAAATTCGAATCGAGCTTGTTTTCCTGTTTTTCTCTGTTGGCTCTCATCATAAATCATTTCGATATTGGAATTTCTCATAATTTCTTTAGAAGGCATGCACAATGTTACATATACTCCTGCAAACACAGTTTACATTAAAGAGCAAATTTCACCAAGCAATCCCAGTTTTCACCTAATAGACATTTATTTAGTCTTTTGTTTTGTTGCTTACATCTGGATTTTGTTTTATTGTCTTCTAAATGAAAGACCAGACCTTAGTCCTCCCTCTTTTTCCTTTTAGAGAAAATACTCATTTGGCCTTCCTGGAAGGAGCTTGGAAAATAGTGAAAAGTTTCTAATTTTTCAAATTTCAACTGGGCTATCTTAAGACTTTTAGCTGTGAAAAATTGTCTCTGGACTGTACTACTGATTGAATATGCTTTTTGAAAGGAGAGATCATATTTGTGCACACCACGAGTTGGAATTAAATTAATGTCAATAGGTGCTTCTCGATACAGGCGCTTCATTCAGATGACGACTTCTGATATCATGGATGAAGTGGGATGTAGTAGTGGTAAAGGGAAGATATCAAATGGATCAGCGATGATGGATTTTGATATTGATGATCTCTTTGAAGTGGATGATGATGATTGGGATGAGGATGAGGATGACGATGACGATGACGATGATAATCTTGATGTGGGTCCAATCAAAGAGTTGGGTGAAGGTTTCTTGAAGAACTTTTGTAAAAAGGCATCAACTGGTTTTTTTGAGAAGTATGGCTTGATTAGTCATCAGATTAATTCCTATAATGACTTCATCAACTATGGAATCCAAAGAGTGTTTGACTCGGTTGGGGAGATCCATGTTGAGCCAGGGTATGATCCATCAAAGAGAGGTGATGGTGATTGGAAGCATGCTTCTGTGAAGTTTGGGAAAGTATCCCTTGAGCGGCCAAGGTTTTGGGCAGGGGAAAAATTTTCTGTGGACGGTGGGAAAGAGTACCTGGACTTGTGGCCACGGCATGCTCGCCTTCAGAACATGACCTACTCTGCCAGGATTATGGTTGAGACTCATGTTCAGGTAAGCAAATGTTTTGTTTTTGCTTTGCCTGTAGTCTATTGTTCTGTGTGTATCAATTTCTCTCTTTTTATTTATTTTCATTCATTTTCTTATTATTCTCTATTTTGAATTGGCCACTATGTTCTAAATTGATTGCATTGTGTTGTTTTCCTGTAGATTAAGTTGCCAATCTTGTTGGTCTCTCTTGAATAGTTCTTTATTAAATGCATTGCCCATCCGATGAAAAGTAATAAAATGGTCATCACAAAGTATCAATTTCTCTCTTTTTATTTATTTTCATTCATTTTCTTATTATTCTCTATTTTGAATTGGCCACTATGTTCTAAATTGATTGCATTGTGTTGTTTTCCTGTAGATTAAGTTGCCAATCTTGTTGGTCTCTCTTGAATAGTTCTTTATTAAATGCATTGCCCATCCGATGAAAAGTAATAAAATGGTCATCACAAAGGAAATATGAGCTCTGAGCTGCATGAATTCCTTATCCTTAACACTTCGATGTTTTAACCTAAAATCCCTTCTCATGTCATGCAGTTACAGCTTTTCCAGTTAGCATTGAGAAATATCCAACATGTCATTTATTTTCCCTATGCTAGTCTTCTTTCTTTCTTTTAGTTTCACTGGCTGCCTTTGTATATGATTTCAGGTGTATACTAAAAAGCTAGTTAGAAGCGACAAGTTCAAAACTGGGGTAGACCAGTTTGTTGACAAGGAGTGTGAGATGGAAGACAAAAGGGATGTCTTGATTGGGAGAATCCCTGTGATGGTGAACTCAGAGTTGTGCTGGATGAATGGTGTTGACAAGCCTGATTGTGAATTTGATCATGGGGGATATTTCATAGTCAAAGGGGCTGAAAAGGTAAGATCTTCCTGCTAGCAACTCACACTAGATGCCTCCATCTCTTCTACCTAAAGAGGGCATAACAAACAAGGATGGACAATTGGTCGTAGTTAGTATACTGTTCAAGCACTAACGAGTCTAAAGGGAAAATAAAAGATACAATTCAAAATACAGCCATGTCAGCTGTTTTACTACTCATTAACACTTGTTAACCAAAATATTTGCTCAAATTTTAGAAGATGTGATGGTAATACAAATTACTATTATTGCCTTTGAAGAATTGGTATTTCTGTCAATAGAACTTTACCTTATCAATTTTTTTTTATTGCTTTTGAAGAATCTTTAGCTATTCTTATATGCCGAAGTTTTGTTCTCAAGCTTCAAGCTGAGTAATGCAATCTTTTTTCTTTTCTGCTTATATAGTACTCCTTTGTCCCAAAAAGAATGGCAAAGTACTCCTCAAAAAAAAAAAAAAAAAAGAAAGAAAGAATGACAAAGTACTATTTGGGAAATCAAATAGTTTTTTTCTTGACTACAAATTTCAAAACATTTTCTAAATACTTTTAGCGCTAAAAGTTTATGATTTAAGTTCTTCTATCTTGTTTCTAAATATGTAATATTTATTTCAGAAAAAGAAAAAAGAATGAATACTTAATTCACATCGAAAATTAAATGTGTTTTACTCTCGTACTATTTTCGGGATTGAGGGAATATATGTAACTTTGGGCATGCCTTCTACACTCATGCTATTATTATACTGATATAGAATATTGTTTAACTTTTTTGGCCTTTTTGAATTATATTTCCTATCACAGTTGCTTAACATTGATAATTCTTGTAATTTCCATTTCAGACCTTCATCGCACAGGAGCAGATCTGTTTAAAAAGACTCTGGGTGTCAAACAGTCCCACTTGGACGGTTGCATATCGCCCAGTTGCAAAAAGGAATAGAGTCTATATTAAACTGGCTGAGACCTTGAAGCTCGAGCACATTAAGGGAGTAGAAAAGGCCCTTACTGTGTACTTCTCAGTGGCGGAAATGCCAATTTGGATTTTGTTTTTTGCTCTTGGTGTATCCTCTGACAGGGAGGTAGTGGATTTAATTGATGTGGATATTGAAGATACTAATATTGTCAATATACTAGTAGCTTCAATCCACGATGCTGATAAGAAGTGTGAGGATTTCAGGAAGGGGAAAAAGGCTCTCGCTTATGTCGATAGACTTATAAAGGGTTGTAGATTTCCACCTCAAGAGTCTGTTGAGGAGTGCATAAAACAATACCTGTTCCCTAATCTTAGTGGTCTCAAGCAGAAGGCTCGCTTCCTTGGCTATATGGTAAAGTCCCTCTTACACGCTTTTATTGGTCGCAGAAAGGTTGACAACAGAGATGATTTTCGGAACAAGAGATTGGAGCTGGCTGGTGAGCTCCTTGAACGAGAGCTCAGGGCGCACATTAAACATGCTGAGAGGCGTATGCTGAAGGCAATGCAAAGAGATCTTTACGGAGATCGACAAGTGCAACCAATTGAGCACTATCTTGATGCATCTATTATTACAAATGGTCTCTCCAGGGCCTTTTCCACTGGACACTGGTGTCACCCTTACAAGAGAATGGAGAGAGTCTCTGGTGTAGTAGCAACTATTAGACGAACCAATCCTTTGCAAATGACTGCTGATATGAGGAAAACACGTCAGCAGGTTACATACACTGGGAAGGTTGGCGATGCTAGATACCCGTAAGTGTTTGTAAATTTATCGACCATATTTTTTTTCGTGCTTCTCATTAGCAAAGGTGGTGACTTTATTTGTCTTACGTCTTGGTCCTTTGTTCCATTCTGTCATAATTTGTGGTAGAAGTACTATTTTAGACTTCAATTTTTAAAAATAAATATGCACCAAGACAATGATAGATATATGAATGCAGTCTAATTCAGGTATGCCTCATTCCTCCAAAAAGTCTAGCCAATTATATATGATAAAAAGGGGAAACCCAGTGCACTAAGCAAATGAAACAAGCGAGTTTTGGAACTTGTATGAATTCCTCTTCAGAAGTTGTCTTGATCCTTTCTTTCATAATAGCCGAAAGATATGGAATCATGTTATCCTCCAAATGTTTTTTTCTTTTAGTATCCAGTTCGTTTACCCGCCAATGTGCCATTGTTTCAATTATTCTTCTAGGAAGCGCCCATTGCATGTTGGAGATGGATATTGTTGCCGTTAATTTTAAACCAGAGCTAACGTACTAGGAGGTGATCCGCTTCAATGTGCCATTGACAGTTTACATGCACACCAACTCGCAACAATGCGTCCTTTCTTCTTAGATCTTCCCCTGTTCCATTCCCGGCTTTGGACGTTATGAATCTTGGGAGATTTCTTTTTTCCTTTCATAATCCTTTTCCATAAGGTTGTCTAGTATGGCATTCTGATATATAATGTTGTGATTTCATCTGACAACTACCCATTGACCACTTCCATACTTCAGATCTAAATCACCTCTCCACTGTGTATTTTGCACACAAGTGAAATTTAGTAGCAATTTTTCCAAAAAGAACTAGCTTAAAAACATCTAGTCTTCTTATCCCGAATCCCCATATGGTTGTAGTTGTGACCCTCTGCCGGTTGATCAAGCGTTTTTTTAGAAGTGTTGACCAGGTGGTTTTTTTCTGTCTCCATTTGCTCCTTTCCTTGGGAAGTCCCTCATTTATATCTCTAGTTTCTTGAACACTGAGGATGCAATGGGGAACAAAGGCATGATGAAGTATGCAGCATACCCTAAACTGGTACGAGTCTTGGATAGCCCACATCTGGGAATTTCATTTCCTCCGATCATTCCCAATGACAGTAATTCGGTTCTTCTCTCCAGTGATCCATGCCATGTAACAGAAGTTATCATTGAAAATGATGGAGGTAGGGATCTTGATTCTGTCTTTTACCATCAGCTTTACCCTTGACATATCAGCTATATTTAAGTCTATTGAGCAGACTCATCCACTGGAGATGGATTGAGATCTGACCAAATTCACCAAGAAAACAACATAATTTCTCTTTAGGTCTGTGCAATTGGTTCTGAAGGCTCAAGGATCTAGCATCAGAAAAGAATCTTTCATTTATCTATTTTCTTCCAAAATTCTGTTGCTTTCAATTTTGGGTTGAAATATGAAGTGTAAAGAGCATCACCTTATCTGGATGCCTTCAAACAAACTAGTCGTCTATTGCCATGTCCGGGTATTGCATCCTGTTACGTTACATCATTCATGAAGCCCACCTGGTTATTGATCGCCTGACCAACAGGTCTCAAGATTAGCAAACTTTTCAGTTGGTATTTCTGCCCTTTGAGAAAAGGTATTGTATTATTAACAAACTAGCACTAAGAATGCACTGCGATCTTACATTGTACAAGGTGAAAGCAAAAGCAAAGAACCTCTGTATCCCTGTAGGGATTCTATAAAGTGTAAGATTGATTTTGTCTCATTTACAGGTTCCTATTTACACTATAAAGCAAGCAAAATTATACAGTAGGATTTATCTTCTGATTAGTTTTATCTTCAAAAGATCTCATACTTCTCCGTTCCCAAACTATCCACCATATACAAGCAGGTATCAAAGCACAAAAAGAAAGCGCCAGCTAAATTCTGGTAACAGTCACCTTCATGGGTTAAGGGCCACCAAGCTGCAGTCTTGCTCCGCTAGCAAGGAAGGAGCGAACGAACATAAATCTTCCCTACATGATCTTACTTGTTCCTGTTCGACAAAGCTAAAGTTTGATCCAATCTACTTTTTCCTTCGCCATAGGACTAGGCTCATGTTACTAAGTAGAATCAGATCAACCCTAAATTATGGGAAAACAATTCAATTTCTAATTGCTGTCAGATTCTATTTTGAATTTTGCACTGATACTGTATCCTAAGATTATAAAGATGAGAGAAGGATATCATACAACTAATTTTGATGTAGAAGTCTAAGCGAATATTCAATTTTATGTCTCAGAATCCTCTTTCTTGGGATGTATGAGAGACTTGTGGATTACGGAACACATAGGGCTAGGGCTAGACTGGTATGATATGTGACATAAGGTGTTTCTTATAGTCCTCTCTATTTTGAAATGTGATTCAGATTCAAGGCTCGCTGTACTGTCTTTTTACTAGTACTGGGCATTTTGGGACATTGAGTTACCTTCTGTCCTAGTTTATAAATATGACATCTAGGTATATCGAGCTAATGTATGCATGTTTGTTAGTATGCTTACTGAGTTTGATTCATCTTTATATGTCTACATTGGCTGGTTAACTGGTCTATTCTGGATACTCGACAAGTTGATATATGTCAACATCTATATTCAAGAACATGGGCATGTTTAATTTCTAATGGTTTAGATATCAGCATGACGAAAGGAACCACAGATGTTTCGATGGAATCTCAACTCCAACTCACTCTTTGAAGGCTTTTTGCTTAGTTAACCTTTACAGTTGGAATTTTGTTAAACCTGTACTTTGTCCAGTTAGTTTTTGGATTTTGTTGTCTCCCTGAACTTTAACTGATCCTTTGTCATGGTGCTGACATTATCATCTCTTTTATACTCCCTTTTGCATCTACTTGATGCCATTTAATGATATTTACTCACATCAAAAAAAGATATCAGCATGTATGCATTGTGATCGAGTAGTTTGTTTGTGTGCTGTTTAATTTAAGTATGATAATCTAATGTGTTCTGGATTGGCTGGTTAGTTGGTTGTTTCTGAATGCTTAACAAGTTGATATGTGTACACATCTATATTCATGAACATGGGCGTTTTAATTTCTAATGCTTTAGATATCAGCATGTATGCATTGTGATATCAGCATGTATGCATTATGATCGAGTAGTTTGTTTGTGTTCTGTTTAACTTAAGTATGATAATCTAATGTGTGTTCTGGATTGGCTGGTTAGTTGGTCGTTTTTGGATGCTTAACAAGTTGATATGTGTACACATCTATATTCATGAACATGGGTGTTTTAATTTCTAATGCTTTAGATATCAGCATGTATTCATTGTGATTCAGTATTTTATTTTTGTTCTGTTTTACTTAAGCATGATAATCTAATGAGTGTTAAAATAACTTATTCAGACATCCTTCACACTGGGGAAAGGTATGTTTTCTCTCCACCCCAGATGGAGAAAATTGTGGCCTGGTGAAAAACTTGGCAAGTATGGGTCTTGTCAGCACAACGATTTTGAAGCCACTTCTTGAGACGTTGTACCGGTGTGGGATGCAAAAGTTAGTAGATGATAGTGCCACCTCACTCCATGGAAAGCAAAAGGTACTTTTAAATGGGGATTGGGTTGGAGTATGTGAAGATTCTGCACTCTTTGTTTCAAAGCTAAGACGTAAGCGCCGCAGGAATGAAGTGCCACATCAGGTTGGCTCATAATCATTTTCATTTAATTTTGTACAGCAGAATAATAGAACCTTATTGTTGTATGCTTATTTTTTATATATATATTGCAAGTATGTTCATTGATCCACCAAAAGGATGGTTATAAAACTGTCAATCAAACATAGAGACTCGTCTTTTTCTCTTTTCCCTCAAGTAGAATATAATTTTTATGGTGTACTGTATTGAATGTACAATATCATGTTAGGGCCGCAGGAATAAGGTCCCACATCAGGTTAACCCATCATCATTTTGATTTAGTTAAGGAATATTTTGTTTTGTGTGTTGCGTGCTCACGCACGTCCCTGTTTTTTTTTTTTTTTTGTGGATAAAATGGAACGCTTATTTATATATGAGTATGTCATCAAGCCATCATAAGGATGATTATCAAACTGTAAACCAAAATGTAAAACATCTGTCTTTTTTTCTTTGTTCCTCAAGTTTATGGTATATTGTATTGAATGTAAATAACATTTTTTTTAAGGGTAAAATAACATATAGTACTGCAGGATTAAAGTGTCACACCAGGTTAACTGATGATCATTTTCATTTAATTATGTGCAGCAGTCATAAAATTTACTGTAGAATGTTTGGTTATATTGCTAGTACGTTCATTAATTCATTAAAAGGGCGATTATATAACTATTAACCAAAAGTGAAAGACTCATCTTTTCTCTTTGTTCCTGAAACAGATGTGACTTTTGTGGTATATGGTATTGAATGTAGACTAACTTGTATGCTGTTAAATCCATAACTCTCAAGTTGACAGTGGGTTGTGCCTCTTTTTTCCCGTGGTGACCCGAACTTCCAACGTCTTGGTTGGAAGTAGAGGGTTCTACCACTGGAGCAACCCTATCTCGTCTTTCCTTAAATGGAAATAATTGTTTTCAGGATAACCATAACACTATAGTAGAGATATGATATTGGAACGCAAAAAGGTCAAGGTGACAATGAATTTGGAATAGATGGAATCCTTGACTCTGTCCATTCTATTTCTGTGATATTCTACCCTTTTGCGAAATACCTCTTTTATTTCCTTCCGATAATAGGAAATATCTCTTTGCAGTTTGCAGAAATTCAAAACTAACCAAATAATACTTATATCTTAAAGATTGAAGGATTCAGACTATAACATCAAATCCAGTAGTTCTCTATTAAATAACCTTATCACAAATTTGGCAATTGATTTCGTGATTTCTTCTAGCACTAATAGATATACCATGCAAGTTTAAAGCATGGAAGTTGATGTACCTTCTTGACTGAAGAAATTCACCCCAGTACCTTTTTCCTTAGCATGTGATGTGCTGCGTAAAGTCTCTCTTTGTATATGGATATTATAAATTTACTCTAGTAAATTTTCTCGAGAAATGTTGTATATTGTCCTATAAGATTTGTTAATTTGATATACATACACTGAACAATCTAAATTTTTCTTCTAGGTTGAAGTTAAGAGAGATGAGCAGCAGGGTGAAGTTCGCATATTTTCTGATGCGGGAAGGATTCTGCGCCCTCTTCTTGTTGTTTCAAATCTAAAGAAAATCAAAGCTTTGAAAGGGGGAGACTATGGCTTTCAATCTCTTCTGGACAATGGGATTATTGAGCTTATAGGACCTGAAGAAGAAGAAGACTGTCGAACTGCATGGGGAGTTGAATACCTCTTAAAAGCAGATAAGGAGAACCCACCCGCCAAGTATACCCATTGTGAGTTAGACATGTCATTCCTATTAGGCTTGAGCTGTGGTATTATCCCTTTTGCAAATCATGATCATGCTAGGAGAGTCCTCTATCAGTCTGAAAAGCACTCTCAGCAGGCTATTGGGTTTTCAACAGTGAATCCAAACATTAGAGTTGATACAAATACCCATCAATTGTATTATCCTCAGAGGCCACTTTTCCGGACAATGTTGTCAGATTCCCTTGGGAAGCCCAAATATGCTCGTTGCCAGAAAGGAATGCTTCCACGGCCTGAATACTACAATGGTCAATGTGCTATTGTTGCAGTAAATGTTCACCTTGGCTATAACCAAGAAGATTCATTGGTTATGAATCGTGCATCACTGGAGCGTGGAATGTTTCGGTCGGAGCATGTTAGGAGCTACAAGGCTGAGGTCGACAATAAGGAAGCTATTGGAAAGAAGCTAAAGATTGAGGATTCTGTTAACTTTGGGAAAACCCAGAGTAAAATTGGACGAGTGGACAGCCTAGATGATGATGGTTTTCCATTCATTGGGGCAAATCTCCAGAGCGGGGATATCATAATTGGGAAATACGCAGAATCAGGGGCTGATCACAGTGTCAAGCTGAAGCATACAGAAAGGGGTATGGTTCAAAAGGTTCTGCTCTCTGCCAATGATGAAGGGAAGAACTTTGCTGTTGTATCTCTGAGACAAGTAAGATG